TTGTAAAGTATTGTTGTCTAATGAGAGTTTGTAATTTCTTCCAATTAACCAATACATATCCTTGATTTTTAAATCAATCTGTTTGCGTTTTTAATAATGTGTTCCTTCCAAGTTAGATGGTCACCTTTCCCTCGTCAGTACTTTCAGTTCCAGCCTCTCGGACAAGACATTTCTTTCTGGGTAGTTCTTCGGGTGTTTTGTCTTCCGCTTGCAAGTCTGCAGTCTTTTGTCTACATTTGTTCTTTCAACAAATAAAAACCACTTCCAATTCCTTATAAAGTGATTGGCATTCCATTATAAATACCAGCTCCAGTTCACATAACCAGACATTCACAGCAAATAAACAATACTTAAATAATTACTCTTCGTTCATTCCTGGATGACTGTTCACATTTAGAGTTAGGACATAGTGATCACTAACTACACATCACAAGCGGCCTCCGTAGTCTAGAGGTAACGTTCCCACCCCATGACTCGTGGTACGCGGATTCAAATACCCGGCGGAGGTCGTCGAATTTTTAAGGGCGGAAAAATTCAGGGAAAAAGTCCTTCGGGAGGGACTTTAGGCTGTGTGTCCCGTTTCGTAACTTTACGGCACGTAAAAGAATCTCATATCCCCAAAAGGGGATCACTGAGCCAAATTCCAGGACGTTTCCCGCCAAACAATAGCCTCTAAGGCCTCCGATCGATGGGGGAAGCATTATAGACACCGCTAAGCAAGTGGCCGAACTCGCTTGCTCGGCAGGACTGATGGTACGCACCATTTATCGGTAGGGTAAAGAGACTGGTAGAATATCATAGAGGGAAGCACAATAGATCAAATTGGTCGCGGTGCATGGGGAAACCCACCCTCTCTAACTAACCAACTGACTAACTACACAGCACATTCCAACATGTTGAAAGAAAATCACAGGGTGGTACTAGTAATACACATCGAAATAAGATACATTCATTCCCTTCCTCTTGGAAACAAAATATTTTGAACGTAATTTTAAGTGCAGCCGAGTATTTATGGGCAGTGTTACAGTGGTATATCGTAGAAAACGAAAATGCAAGAGTAAGAGAACAGATGAATGAAAATTAAGTCTCTGTTGCTGGTTTTCTTATCGTAATTCCTCAAGGAAAGTATTCAAAGTTTTTAAATGAAACCTTCCGGGGATTCTTCTAGGCGAAGAAGTAAAGACCCATTACAACAACACCCATGGACTTTGAGCAGGTAAGGAAAGTCTCTGAACCCATTGGAACCACTGTACAACAGCAGCCCGGACTAACAAACGAACTGATATTTCTTGAAAAATAATCGTGCATTTATAAGCCGTTCGACTTGAAGTTTATTGTCCTGTCATGAGGTGCAGTTTGTCCTGTTTATCTAGCGAAACGTTACACATCTGTAAGACTTAGAGTTGTAGTCGATACCTGTAAACTCGTATTTATTATCCAATGCTACTCAAGGGATTTGTATAAAATTTTGTATTGAGGTGAGGTGCTATAGTAGAGGTTGTCGGTTTAATCGAATTTTGGTCCGTATTAGTGGAAAATTAACTCCATTTTACATGAAGTTAAACTGATATGTAATTATTTGTATCGCTAACAGATCACGGGGCATGAGATAAAATACGTGTATGGTTCTTAATAAGAAGAACATTACAAACTGTTCTTACTCGTACGTGGGGACTGCTTAAACAAAATCCAGAAGGAATAGTGTCTCCGAACGGTGCATATCTAAAGTTTTTGTAATTTCAACAGCAGATTTTTATCTGTAATAAATGGTTATAAATACAATGAGATTTGTAAAAAAAATTAAAATACGCCATTGGGAAATACGAGTAAATCCACTTCAAATTAAAGGAAATATTTCTATCGCTTTTCTTCAGCTGAGCGACTGACGAACGACAGATAAAACTGGGACATCAATGTAAGTTACCTGATTTCACGTTAACAAGAACCCAAAATTTTTAGGAGCACACAGTTACGAAAGCTAGTCTATATAGTTCTGCGTACTTACACCAGATGTCTCTTGCATAGTAATCGCAAGAATCGTCACGAAGACGGACAGGATCGCTGATCGTTCCATGTTTGTTTCAGTAACTGGGGTTGATTTGGTACTTAAGAATGATATTTATAGCTTGTGTTCAATGCCTCACGTTAACTGACCAACAATTAAGTTGCTAGCGTCTCGTGATGTTCGCCCTGCTTTTTAAGACATCCGGTACGAATTTTCTTCTCCATTCGTGTGCTTAGAGAATGTGGATAATTACAATTGTCCACCGCTCCAAATCGCCGAGTTCCGATGGGAAAATGTTTACTTCTCCTTGAGGAGAGTTGGTCGTAGTTTTTGCTGCTTTTTATAATAATAATGACACAATGAGGGTTGAAATATTTATTCTGATTTTGAGAACAGAGATTTCCAAAAGAGCTCTTCTTTAAAAATTTTAAGTGATATTTGCCTGGATGATCACTTATTGTATTAGTAGATTTAAGTCATTGTTGGGAAGCTAACTACAATACCGATAACAATATACAGTTATAAACCATTTCTCTGGTGTTTCGTTGAATATAAATCACACCAAAAATATTTGAGAAATTATAGATTATCATATGATCTACATTCAAACGAGTATTGAGCTACTACAATTTTTGTGTTGCGAACCATTTCTGAGAAAACGTATGATCTATTATTTAAATTTTATATAAAGCAGGTGTTGGGACATTAAGCTACTAGCCGGAAGATTACTGGTTCAAGTCCGCGATGAGGTGGATTATTTTCAATTGACCTAATCCTTCCAGCAGCATTATGGCCCTGGGGTCGACACAGCCTCTGACAGAAATGATTACCAGGAATATTCTTGAAATGTTCTTGGGGGTAAAGGGCGGCCGGCGCGTAAGGCTGGCGACCTTACAGCCATCTGTGAGCCGACTGTCTGTCTGTTTGTACGCTGAGTAGTTTAGAGAAAAAAATACATTTTTTTGTTAGCCGTTAGGGACTTGATTAGTTTCATATTGGCAGCGTTAATGAATAATATAGGCGGCTAATATACATGAAGTTCCTTAACGAGATTTGAGATATTTATTTGTATATTGGATTGCTGTGTCAGGTTAGGAATTTTTTAGTTTCGGAGGTACATAATTAAATTTAGTCTTACACACCGCATGCTACATTGCAGGCTGTTTTACTTAAACATAAAATTAATATACAAGTTGCGGTTTTAAATAAAACTATATTAAATACAGGTAATTTAAATAATAAAATTGAATCTTAACACTGAATATCGATTCTACCCTTAATACATAAATGCCATAATTATTGATTTACGATTTCATGCTATCAAGATATTACATGATAAGTCGATAAGAAAAATCCGTATGAAAATCGAATAATTTTTAAGATATCTTATCATAGTTATAGATATCTGTTGTCATTCCTTTAGAGAGTATTGCATTCTTATTTTGCCTTTCAATGCTCGAAACACATGGCCAAAGTTTTTGGAATGACATATTTAAACCAAAAAGATGTTATTGTTTGTGTACGATAAGCCATTTCTTTTAAAAATAAGTATTAAGCGTCTAGCGCAATGTGAATATGTAGTTACAAGATTACTTTACATACAGAAAGAAATATTAAATTCGTCCCAATTTCTAGATATTTCTCCCAGTCTCAATTTTTTTCGTTAAAATCTTCGGGAGAAGACACCTGCGGTTAGTGATATTCAAGACCTCCATATTTCTCGTTAGCTATATTCACGTCATGCAAAGTGTAAGCACAAACGAGAGAGTGACAATGGCGCGCGGTGGCAAGTGACAAGAATTAAATATCAGTTTTTGCGATGTGTTCGTAACAAAAATCTAGCAGCTTAATGTAGTGGTAAAGTCGTGACGTTCTAAACCCAGGTCAGGTGTTATTCTGACTAACATTGTTCGCGGTTTTATTCGGTCTCTCCAGGTAAATCACCATGCAGCTAGAATTCTGAAAAAACAAGAATTTCCTCCTTCCAAATAATTACCTACTAATCAATTCATGTTGATCTCCCCGACACATCTCACCATACGTAACCTATGTAATTAATAAATTATCGTTAAGTAATTTAATTTTGCACTTAGAAACGCTGATGCCAACTTCTGCTTCATACTGTGTCCTGAAACTGAGTCACTTCTGTTGCCCAGCAGCAAAATATTAGCATTCTCCTGCAATTACAATGCTACGTGATAAACCTGCAAGCTTCATTTAGTTACATTTATCCGAATTTGCACTCGAAATAAACCCTCCCCCCTTCTCTTACGTGAAAGCTATTGGGGTGTGAGAAGGACTTCGATATAGTGTATGATCCTTCCCTTGCACAACTGCCAACTTTCGCATCATTTAGGACAGGGATGTCCATCACCGTCACTAATTCCCCAACATAGTGAAACAAAATGTATTTACTCCTTATAAACCCCAAGATTCGTCATACTTACCTGCTTTACACTCTTTAAGTTCACTTAAAATTCCCTTAGTAACATTTTATATTATGCTTACTCCTGTTTGGGGTCACGCGGTAGCGTAGTTGGTTGAGGGTCTATGTTACAAGGCGGAATGTCGCGGGTTCAAGTTCTGATAAGGTGGAATTTTTTCAATTGTCTTAATCCTTCTAGCCGCATTATGGTCCTTGAGTTGGCTCAGCCTCTAACAGAAATGAGTACCAGGAATCTTCCTGGGGGTAAAGGGATGCCAGCGTGTAAGGCTGACAACCTCACAACAATCTGTGAGCCGATTGTCTAGATCAGGCATGTCAAACTCAACTTGTACAGAGGGCCACCTCAGCCCAATAAATAATAGTCCAGGGCCGCACTTCAAAATAGAAATATACATTAGATTTTGATACAAGGAAATTCAATTCTATTTATCATTTAGGAATAATTTCAATATAATTACGTAGTCACATATCTTACAGTTTTAAAAAGCAAGAGAATGCCATTTTTGACAAGTATCAAACAGCTTTTCAATATGTAAAAAGAGAGATTACACAAGAAATTATGTTAGAAATAGCAAAACATTGAATTTCTGCAGCCTGCTAATTTATGCCTGCGTGAGACTTCTTGTCGTCTGGTCTCTTGGAAAATTGTCTTTACAAAATATATTTCTACTAAAATTTTAATGTTGATTTTAATATCAATTAGCTCTAAAAGTTGAGGGGCCGCACTTTGTGGCTATGGGGGCCGCATGTTTGACACGGCTGGTCTAGAGAAAATGTGGGAGCCTCGACGTCTCACAACCCTATGGGCCTCCATGTTACATGGATACAGTTATCTTTACTCCTTTTGGAGTATAGAGGCGGGACACCGCAGTCAGTATAGCGACTGGCTACGGAGTTCGGGTCCCGTTGAGGGCAAGAATTTTCATTTCTCCAAGTCGTCCAGACCGGTTCTAAGCCCCACCCAGCCTCCTATCGAAAATGTACCGCGGGCTCTTTCCCCGGAGGTAAAGCGGCCGGCATGTGAAACTGACCACTCACATCGAACTAGAGCTGAAAGTGAAGTTCTATACATCCCCTCCCCCATACGCCTTCATGGCGTAATGCCTAATTAGTTAAGCACAGGGGCAACTTTACCTTTTACTTTTACCTGCCTATATAGGTCCTCGAAACGGTCTTTCTCTTTCCTCTTTCAATTAAAATTTATTTCTTTATTTATCCATTCATTTTTTATTTATTTAACAACACCGCCAGTGGCGCAGACTATATACCGTCAAACGCTAAGATGATCAGTAAATAGTCAATCAGATAGGATGTGGGAAAAAGCGACATTTGGCTACCATCGACTGAGGAAAACCAGGTAGAACCTCAGTCAGGAGGTTTGGTGTCTCGGCGACGATTCTGTCCGACCATCCCTTCCTCAAAATTTCGAATTATTCTTTACTAGACTTTGTCCCGTGCTGTGGGAAAGAGACAGATACAGAAGACTGCATAGTTTTTGCGCTCTTTACTAATTATTACTAATACTACTTTCATCAAATCCAGAACTTTAAAATAGGCAATAGATGTACAGTCCATGTGGATATGAGAAATACAACATTTTGTCAACCCTGGTGGTGAGAGGGACAACATGCATTTACACAAGAGATTCATATTGAAGTTAATCTTGAAGAAATGTATGTGAGGATGTCTGCTACACTTAAATTGATGAATGATAAACCAGAAGGGATTTTAGGAAGTTGTCGTGACCTATTTTACTGTAATATCTCGGCGCTTTCCTGAGAGGAGCAAGTTATGTTACTTACACTTAATTCAAGGTTTCCTTCTGACTATGAGCCACACATATTACTACTTGGAGATCACGATCAGGCAGCTACATACGTTTAAGCGTCAGACATGATGCAATCCTACACACATATCCTCTGTGTTCAATGGCAGGCAGACCGTGGCCCTTAAAGCCCTCTGCACTCGGACACCGGACATCTCGGAGGTATGTGACAAGTCCTCTCAGCTAACATATCCTCATCTTTGACTGTAGAATCCTGTTGTGTTTCACACACATATAATTCTTACAATAGAAACAGACAACGTGATTTTAGCCCGCAAGCGAACCAGACCGACCGAGCGACTGCCGCTTATCGGCGAAGTTAGTGCCAAATTTGGCGGATAGAGGGTGTCGCGTGGTCAGCGCAACGAATCCCCACGGCCATTAATTTCGGGTTCTAGACCAGAGCCGCTATTTCCTTGCAATAACTCCTCAATTATCCTTACGAGGCTGAGTGGATCCCGTTCCAGACCCATTACTTCTCAAAAACAGCTGGTATCGCCGGGAATCGAACCCGGACCTCTGGATCTGTAGCCAGGAACTCTGACCACTAGACCACAGAATACAATCGACAAAACGATGTAGTGTTAATAGTATTTATTCTCACCCTACGCTAGAAAGGGGAAGCACACTAGATCATTGAAGGTAGCAGTGCAAGTTTCTCATTATTATGGCCTACTCCTCGTTCTTCCATTCACCCATGCATATGGTGCAATAAATCAAATCATGCAAAAACCTTCTTATAAGTCACCCCTACACGTGAAAATATCTTATCCTTGTCCTCTTTCCTCCATTTTCTGTCA